TATTTAATCCTTTATACAGGATGAGACTCATTGTCTCATTTACAAGAGAGACCTGTTACACACATCACAACAAAATAACAATAATACAATACAATCCACTTAACACTTCTAAAAATCAATACAATACACCATCAAAGAGGGGTTTTCACTGACAACAAATACAAATGCCTACAGATAAATTTTCAAATCTTGTTTATTAAAATTTTGAGCTCCCCAAGTGTGACCAGACTGGAGAACTTCAGGTCCTGCTGAAAGCTTGGTCCAGGTTGAGGGACCAGAAAGGGAGAAAGCTTTTTTTGCCAAGCTTAGTACGCACTAAAAGAACACTGAATGTAATAAAGTCCTGAGAATGGAGGCCGTGGTACTGGTTTTTGTGTGAAATATAACATGATAAGCATGATGGAACCAGCTGGAGGATGGATTTTGAAATGAAAATGTACCAGTGTAAGAGTCTGCAAGGGTTAACTAAAGAATATAAGGTGCAATGGTGAGTGAGGGCTTTGCTGTGATAAAAAAATGCTCCATGATAAACAGCGTCTAACAGATGTAATGAGCAGGCTGAGGCTTTCATGCAATATGCCCACAGTCTAAAATACTCATAAAAGTGGCAGAAACATGATGTTTTCTGGCATTTTTTGAGAAACAACTCTTGTTTTGAAAAAAAAAAAAAAGAAGCCTAGTTTTAACCTAATGTGCAGATTTTCAATGTGGGGTTTAAAAGTGAAATTTTCATGGTGATGCCAAGATATTTATAAGATTTTACAAAATCAATAGGCACACCCTGTGTTGTAGTAATAGCAGGGAGAAATGTGGGCACCTTCTTGTTAGAAAATAACATGCCCTTAGTCTTACTTACATTCACTAACAGTCTGAGTTGTAACAGTTGAGATTRAAAGCTGTGGAAAGAGGGCAGAAAGTGCTCAAAAACAAGGGTAAATGATTTTGGGCAAGAATAATCGTCAGCATAAAAATCACAGCTGCACTTTTGTAGCTCTACCTATTAGTGTTAGCAAAATATCTCATAAATTGTTTGAAGGATTAAAAAAACAGTAACCATTATGTGTACGTACAGCTCTAATAATCTTGATAATCGTACACATTATTTTTACTGAAATGTGTTTTAATTGGAGGTTTCAGGCATTAGAAATGACAAATATTGGTAAGTAAATATTTAAAACAAAACAATATTATAAAAAACGCTTTAATCCATACGTTACGCATAACATATGCTACTTTTCTGAGACATGTTAATGTTTGATACCAATAGCATCTTTAAAAATGTCATACTGGCTGACTTAGTGGCTGCATCAGTTRTGTGACATATTTGACTCTCAGACGATAAATGTTGAAATGTGTTATGACTTTATTTAAATATATGTTTATGATCCTCTGACAGCAAAGACAAGCTAGTCTTGAAATGATATGCTTCAGTTTCACTATTGACACGACAGTGTAACACATGTAGTTTTTAGTTCGGGGAAACTGTCCTTCTCCTCAGACATCCACAGGTGAGGTACTTCATGGCAGTCGCACATACATGCAGCAGAGGACCCAAGTTGTAAAGCATATGGTAGATAGTGCGAATAGACAGGGTTCCGGTTTCATCCGCGTATTTCAGGGCAACGATTGGGGAGTACAGCGAGTTGGTCAGGTTACGAAAACGTGGTCTGCTCGATTCAATCACTTTCTTTGTGCACTGCAACAAAAGGAGCAGAAAAGACACTAAAGTTTGTGGTCAAGGATCAATCAAAGTTGGGATAAGAAGACACAAAGTAGAACAATCCTCACTCTTGCCACCTCCTCGGGTGATTGTCCGTAGCCTTCAAAGATGTTCACGGCAGTAGGAAGATAGAGATCCTTGAAGGAATGTAGGGTGTCAGGATCAGTGCCGGGAAATTCCTTCTGTCCCATGTCTTGGATCATTTTCACTTCGAATTCTGTGTGCACTGGTCCAGGTTCAATCATTGACAGTCTGTGAACACACACAAACAGCACCAAAGAGTCAGATAACATGGAAGTTTTTAACATTCAGAGTGTGATTATAAGAGAGAGAGTATGTTTCTTACACTGCAAAAACTGTCCACCTAACCAAGTTTTAAAATCTTATTTCCAGCCAAAAAGTCTTTTTGATCTTGTTTTGAGATTGATTTACTAAACAAGAACTGACTGTGTAAGAATAATAATCTTGTTTTCAGAATGTGTAAGATTATTTGTCTTGTTAGTCTGATAATTTCACTCAAATTAAGTCAAAATTTTCTGCCAATGGAATAAGAAAGTTTTACTTGATAAGATTCTTGAAATAAGAAAAAATTGAGTCAAATCAAGTATTTTAAGAATCTTACCAAGTAAAACTTTCTTATTCCATTGGCAGAAAAAATTGACTTAATTTGAGTCAAATTTTCAGACTAACAAGACAAATGATCTTACACATTCTGAAAACAAGATTATTATTCTTACACAATCAGTTCTTGTTTAGTAAATCAGTCTCAAAACAAGATCAAAAAGACTTTTTGGCTGGATCTAAGATTTTAAAACTTGGTAAGATGGACAGATAACTAGTTCAAGAAACAGAATAGTTTCCTTTATTTGTATGTGCCCCCCTGAAAAGCCTTCACCTCCCTTGCATAAAAAGCTAGTTCTGCCACTGCTCTGGTTACGTTTTAGTCGGTGCATTTGATTGACACCAGTGGTACTCACGTCACGTTGAACTTAAAAAGTTGGATAGCCAAACTTTCACAAAAGCCCTCCATGGCAAACTTGGAAGCTGAATAGACATCGTTAAACGCCACCCCTGAGAAGAAAAACAATACTTATTTTTGTCTGCTGAGAAACTCAGTTATAGGTCTCACTTTATAACCTATCAGTGCTTCCACTTGTTCATCATCCACCACCCATCAACTGTTTTTTTTTTATCTCTGTAGCATTGAGCAGCCCAGTGTCTCTTCTCACCTTGTAGACCCATCACACTACTGACCACGATGATGTGTCCCCCTCTTCTTCTCTTCATTTCAGGCATCACCTCCTTGATCATTCGAATGACCCCAAAGAAATTGGTCTCAAAAACCCTTTTCATCTCCTCAATGGGAATGCTCTCAACCGGACCCACCAGACCGATCCCTGCGTTGTTGACTGAATGAGAYGAGAGGAGCAAAAGATGAAAAGAGTGAGGAAGTGTGATCAACTGGCAGAGTCTGAAAGATGCTCTCTTTTGACTCACTAAGGATGTCCACGTGTCTATCTTTGATGCCGTCAATGCACTGTTTGACAGATTCATCGCTGCAGACATCTAGGACAGCGAGAGAAAGAGTTTTCCCATGTGCGTCTCCAGCAGCTTCCACCAGTTTATCCTTCTGTTTCAGATCACGCATCGTAGCTATCACTGCAAACAGCAGAAAAAAATTAAATTACTTAATTACTTAATTAACCAAAGACTGGAGAAGATGTGTTTTCTGCAAAAATGCTGTCTGGGAAAATGTGTTAAAGAAGCTGAAACTTGCTAAAATGAGCAAAACAATACCCAAAACGGGCAACAAAACAATGCAATGTATATAGCGTCAAATCACAACAAATATTGTCTTAGGGCAAATAGCCAATGTTGTGGTCTTGATCCACCATTTAGTAAAAGTTATCAATCTAACGATGCTAGCAGATTGTGTTGAATCACTTCACCACAGTCTCATCCTGAGCAGTACATTGGTGACAGTGTAAAGGAAAAACTCCCTTTTAACAGGAAGTAACCTCCAGCAGAACCAGGCTCAGGATGAGCAGAAATAGACACAGAAAAACACAGAAGCACTGGTCCAGATGTCATTTTCTACAGGAAGAAAAACAAAGAAAAACACACGTTAAAAATCTAAATAATCACAAATACAAACATGTAGAGTAGAGCGAGTAAAGACAGCAGCAGGGTGAGGAAATGGGGTCAGTAAATGCTAAAATAAGCAGAACAGTAGTGACAGTCAAAATGTGYGAAAAACATAGCTCAAAGCTAAGATCAACTACACGAAAGCTAAAACCAGCAAAACTGTGGCTAAAAAAACAAGTGAATAATTTAAGCTAAAAGCTAAAATTAGCAAAACAGCACCTAAAATCTAAAACTAAAGCAAGCACTCTGAAATAGATTTTTAAAGAGCACAAAGTTCATCAAGGATTTGAAGAGTTTTGTATTCATTTCAATTAGGAAAAATGACATACAGTTAAATATTTCAAAAGGTAAAAAAGTTGCAAAAACCCAAACATCATCGCTGACCTGAACAAGATGAATGTTTCGATATATAAAGAGTTATAACAGCTAAAAGTGTGATGGAGTAGTTATTATCTAAAAATGTATGGAATAAACTAAAGTATCCAAAACAAACATTTATCAGATTTTCAAAGTTTTCTTTAGCTTCTTAGCAGTCCTCCAGAGAAAAACACAGAATGTTCCGGTAAAGATCTGAATAATAACTTTTGTTCACAAACTTTGCAATCAGACCATGAAACCAACTCCACCTCTTGATTTTTTTATTTGATGAGTTTTAGTAAAAAAAGGATAAAAATGCAACTCTGACTTCAGGCAACTGATGATTATGATGATGATGATGATGATGCTTTTATTGTCATTGTACAAAGCACAATGAAATTACAGCTAAGAACACCCATTTATGTAGACACATATGACAAAAACATGGGTGAACAGGTGAACAGGTCACGCTGCAACCAGCAGGGGTCGCACTGCCTTTAACAATTTCATGTGTTTCAGTCATAATTAAATCTTATTCATGTCTTTTTAAAGTTGCTAGCAATTCTTTGTTTTCTCCTGATCAGATGTTTGGTTTGTTTCACAGGCGGTTTCCATATGTATAAAGTGATTTTAAGTGATTAGGCATCGTAGGCATCTTGCCCAGGTGAGCGAGGTGAGACATGCAGAGTCAAACGAAGTTCACATTTCCTGGCTCTGTGTTGGCTGACACAAGATGCACATGATATTCACACACATGTGCACACAAACCCCGTACTTTCTTCACTTATTATGTGCACGTAAAGTGGACATGCGTACATAAAAATACATAAAATTGTGTGGTCCCAACCTCTGACTGACAGAAGAATTTTATTCATCTTGGGTCAAAAATGTTTGCCCTGATTGGTCTTGTTTTTTCCTCTTTCTTTTTTATTTTTATTTTTTTTATTTTTTGCATAATTCCTGTGTTACCATAGGGTATGAAAGAATCTGATGTAGAAATTGGGAATAAACTATAAGAAGCTTCTTGGAAGCAGCCAGGTTACAGCAACTTTACGTAGTAGTTTAGACAAACATGCTCATCTCTCCTTCCTGTTCTAAGAAATGCTCAGTCCAGTTTGAAATGCACGCTCAAGTACTACAAGCCAGGCCAGAATTTGCCTCAAATCCGGCTTTGCTTCCTACTTTAACTGTTGTTTAGTGTCGTAAAGATCTTATGGCTGTAATGAGATCAAAGGGATAACTTTGTCTGCACCGCAGAGAGTTGAAAGAAGCTGAGAGCCTTTAATTTAAAATCAGATCTCAGTAGTTGTAGATACACAAATCTTTAAGCCCAATTAACCCCATCTTTACTCATGGCAAAAAGAAGAGGTCACTGACCGTTTCCAAATGGAGGCTATTATCATCTGATATACAGTATATATATATATTTATTTATTTTTTTTCCAATTTAGCTCAGTTTCTGAAGTTTTGTGGAACTGCTCTGAATCAGTTTTACAACTTCTATGGCATCGTTTGTTGGAGCAGCAGCGTATCTACAGCTGAGAGGAAGCGGCTGGATAAGCTCATCAAGAAGGCCAGTTCTGTGCTGGGATGCCCCCTTTGACCCAGTGCAGGTGGTGGGAGACAGAAGGACTCTGGCTAAAATAGCATCAGTAACAGAGAACGTCTCCCACCCATTGCATGGAGGTGTGGCTGATCTGCAGAGCTCCTGCTGCGTCCTAAATGCACAGAGATCAGCAGATCTTTCCTCCCAGCAGCTGTTAGACTCTATAACCATCACTGCTCCCAGCAGTCTCAACAAGCAATCCGTGCTTGTGTTTGCACATTAAACACCTCTATCTGCACACTCTATTGCACACCTCTCAACTCTRYTGCACATCCCCTTGGATCATAAGTCTGTCATGACTGATTTTGTGTAATTTTTCTCTGCACAGTATTTTTTATTMTGATTTTCATCTTCATCATTATAGCATTGTACAGTAATTTTATTTTATTTTATTCTATTTTTAATTTTTATTATTATTGTCTTAATTGTACTATTAATGCTACTGGTGATACTGTCACATAGCAAATATATTGTTTTGTGGATAGATGGATCTGCTGCTGCTGTTGCACCTGAATTTCCTCTCTGTGGAATAATAAAGGCGTCTCTATTCTATTCTATTCTATTCTATTCTATTCTATTCTATTCTATTCTATTCTATTCTATTCTATTCTATTCTATTCTTGCCCATTATTAGTACTTTAAGCCCAACATGGTGGGACGATCTTGTGTTATGGCTGGAGGCTTTATAGTTATTAACACGCTACATCAAGCACATTAAAGTAAATAATAGTTCAACTCTGCACACACTTACCATGGTAGCGCTTCTTTTTGTCCTTGGCCAGCATCACAGCCATCTTCAGGCCGATGCCAGAAGAGCAGCCGGTGATCAGCACCACTTTCTGTTCAGGACAAACCATGGTTCCTTTGGCTCTCTGTTTTTTGTGAAACAGAGAAACTAGAAGACAACCACTCAGCTCTGCAGAAGAGTCACAATAAGAGGATAACAGAGGGAGTCACATTGAGGTAGAAAGTCTGGGATTATCTAGGTTGGCAGCTATGGCAGCTTTTTGGTGAAAGATACACAGTAAGTGTTGAAATGTCAGACCTGAAATTTTGATTCTGAACATGCAAGTGCCGATCAGCTGAAATGAGTGATTCAAACAGTTAAAAAAATAAAATAAAATAAAAAATACAGTTGAAATTTGTGGACGTGTTAACTGACAGATTTAGCACCACCTGGTGGTCAAAACTATTATTCAAATTACACAATGAAAAAAGTTTTTTTTGTCTTGATAGAAGTTATATGTACTTGAGTCAATGTTCATGAAAATGTTTCTTGCTTAAATAAAAAAATCTTTAAAAGGAGAAAAATATGTAAACTGTATTATGTAGATCATTAAACTGTTTCACACTAAGTTCTAGCTGGCAGGCATAAGTTTAACACAAACCTACCTGAAGCAGGAGGAAAGGATTTTGGAAATATGCCTAGAATTTTTTTTCCCACATTCAGTTTCTGTACATATGCCTGGAACCAAATGAACCCTGTAACCAAAAAACACTTAATCTTAATCATTATTATTCACCACATTAAAGATATCTTTATCTCTGATCTTGTAAGCTACAAAACACCTGAAGAAGAAGCCAAACATCTACAGACATCATTCCTCTCCAGTTAAAACAATATTGTTTCATTTGCTGAAATACAGACAGTTTTGTCAGTGAGACAACCCATACTGTTGATCGCTCTTTAAAACAAGMGCTTGCTCTCAATGAGAATTTAATCTTGTTAAAGGAAATGAGTGAGACCAACTTCTGTTAGRAAATGATGAAATGCCATTTTGGTCTAACCTTGAAAATAAATTTTAGCACATATTATTATTACAAGCTTATTTTAACTCCAATTTATGTAATATTTACACAGTGTAAAATGATAATATAAACACGATTATTTGTAGGTATCAGACAAACCTGACCTATTGAGAAGATTATCAGTAAATACAAATATAGCTGGTAACACATAATAAATATACTTTCTAGTTGAAGTCATAATTTTCCAACAGGATGAAATTATTGACTGACTCCAGATSTAGTTTAGGTCATTGTTACTTAGTAATTATGATTGTTGAATGCAATTAACAGAACAATTATATCCATCCATCCATCCATTTTCTGAACACGCTTCTTCCTTTTCAGGGTCGCGTGGGTCACTGGTGCCCATAAACAATTATATCATTTACAGTAAAAATATTACAAAACAATTGTGACTGAGTTGCTGTTAATCAAACAGCTGCTATGACAGCTGTGAGCTGTTGCCCTGTATGGTCGCCATTTTTCTCCATGTCATCATAGATGCTAACAGTGGATGAGATRGGCAGGACTCATTCTAGGGTTATTCAACTCTATGTTTTTAACCCTGTGCACCAGTGGAATGCCTCATTTTGCAGGTAAAATAACCGATATGCATTATGGTAAATAATTTATGGTCAACGATGGCTTTAGATCAACTTATTTTGAGACATTATTATAGAGTTATTCAACTGAATTGCTCAGGGGGTCACAGATACTCAAGGYCAACATAGGGGCAGGACAAATATTATTCTTTCAGTTTTAAAATGTGTTTATCTTTTGTTGCATTGAGTTTTACATTTAAAATTTACAATAGATTTACAATCAATTTTATTTTAAATTAAGGGGGGGATTGACTCAGTTGTAAGTTCTAGTTCTTTTGTGTTTGCTAAACTTGCCTTGCTGTGGCGACCMCACTGAATCAGGCTGACGCAAAAAGTTTGCTAATCTGCTGAAATTTCAAAATCGTTAGTGATTCGTGAGTGTTTTTGGGTGGTAAATGGTTTATATTTTAGACTGTGATCTAAATAAAACAGATTATATGCTGTTAAATTTGTATGCATGAGCTGTAATTGAACACATTTGCATAAGTACAAGGACTAACTCATCCTAACAGCTCTTAACAAGTCTTTCACTGTTGACCCTGACCGTTCCACCCTTTTAATAACAAGTTAAAGAGTAGATTGTTAAAAAAAACAAGAASTCATCCAGTTTGATTTTTTTCTTCTTCTTTTTTTAAACTGTGCACATTCTGAGGAGTAATTATGCTGAGTGACTGAACTGAAAGTGGGGTATAGGCAAAGACAGGCAGGCACTGGAATTTGGAATCTGCAGCAGCATATTTTTATTAGTTGGGCAGCACCTTTGTCCTGTCCTAGCATGCTGCTGCTGCTGGGCGCGCTGACGTGCACCTCTGTGCGCGAACTTCAGGCAGAAATCCAGAGGGTGGCACACGGGGTCCATTGTACCTGCTGGGTGATGGACCTTTAGCTTCACGTCTATAACACYAGGTCTGTACAAGATGKATGGGTGGATGCATGGATGGATGGATGCATGCATGCATCAGTGATGGATGGATGCATGCATGCATCAGTGAAATCACCAATTAGGTTAATATTGACGCGCGGTAATTGCTTCAGCTGCAAATCTGAGGAGACTCCCGGGAGGGAGGGGTCGACTAGAGGAGGAGGGAGGGGAGAGAAAGTGGGGAACATTCTCTGGAGATGAGAGTGAATACACCTTCCTAGGATTSGACTTTCTTTTCCTCCTGTCTCCATCCGTCCACTCAGGGGTCAAAGGAGCGAGAGGATAATTGTGAATGGAGAGCTGACTCTCAGGAAGTCTCTACACGCAGACGCGCGCTCCTAAGACTGCTGCTGCCAGGTGTCGCAGCGCGCGCTTATCAGACGCGCTTCTGAGGTGTTGGAGCTCGCGCAGTTGTCCCGGCGTCCCGGAGTTATTGGTGGTCATCAATTCATCTTCTGATGATGGATCAATGGAGCTTAACGCGGCACACGTGGATGCTGCTGCTGCTGCTACATGTACATTACTTCTATTTTTCAAGAGCAGGTAGGTTTAAACATCCACACTTTCTTTTTATACCCATGAAAAGAAAATGAAAGTTTTCTAATGTAATTGACTTGGAAAATAAGGAAAACACATTTTGTCCCTCCTGATAACTTTCTTTTTTCTGTGCCTCCACCTGCTCCAAACTCTCCATCAGCTACTTGTTTTATTCCAATACATTCCAACTAACACAAAGACTGTAACTTATCCTTGCAAGAACATACTTTTTGAATACTTTTCACTCATGAACTTATGTCCATGTCATGCAAAGCTACAACCCCCTCCCAAAAATAGCTTCCATTTTTGGGGATGATTTTTGCCTAAAGCTGATTGAACTGAGCTTACTGCACATTTAGTAGACAGTCTAGAAGTATAGGTCCACATGTGTCTGGGCTTGTTGTACCATACCTGCTGTATCCGTGTGCTCTCCTCATTCTGCAGCTCGCAGGATTTTTAACCTCTCCAGCTGTAATATGGAACAGACTCAGGAAAACTGAACTGTGCAGGGGATCTTTGGCTGCATGCAGCAGCGCCTGGAGCTGCATTGGAACCAGATGGAGAMTTTTATCTTCAGAGCTGTCAGTAGAAGGCTGGTATCACTGATGGGGATCACTTTAAAGTGGCTTAAAGTGAACATCAGGAGCTTTGAATAACTGAAGAGATACTGTAGAAAGATTGTATCCTACCAGCTGCAGATAGCTTTTTGAGCAACTTTGGTTTGGATAAAAAGTTTGATTTTAGCTGGTTTGATTAGCTAACAGGGCTAATACCAAAGTGGATTGCTGCCACATGACACCATACATTCGACCCGTGTGGCTGCCTGGGTGGCTCATATCTCCTGCAGGGAGTGGGCCCACAGGATGGCAAACCCATGTAACTCATTTGGACTGAGCCTGACTGGGTCCCATATGTTGAGACCCATTCACCAGGCCTGGCTCCAGAGTGGGTTTCTAGTAATGCTTGTCTGAGCAAGGGACATCAATCTGTTTGCTTTCTTCTGCCCATTCAAGTATTGCAAATCCCTCTTTGTTTGGCCTGACACCTAGGACCAGTCTGTCTTTGGAGACAGGGGTAAATGTCCCCAACAGCAACAGCTCCTAGGATCATTCTGACACACAAACTCCTCAACCAAAACAAGACAGCCGAGGTTTCCCTCAGAGACAGGGTGTTCTCTTGGAGAGACTCGGAAGAAAGTTGCTGCTCCTCCACACCATGAGGATCCACTTGAGGTGGTTGGACATCTGGTATAAGGATACTGTCTGGAGGACCCACTAGGGAGATGTTTCAGGCATGTCCAACAGGGAGGAGACCCTAGGGAAGGCCCAGGACATCCTGATGAGACTATGTCTCTTGACTAACCTATAGGAACACATTGGAGTCCTCTTAGAAGAGGTGGCTGGGGAAGGAGAGGTCTAGCCTCCCTGCTGCACCTGACTTGGAACAAGTGGAAGATAATGGATTAATTAATGGATGGATGGATAGATGGATGGATGGATGGATGGATGAGTGGATAGATAGATAGATAGATAGATAGATAGATAGATAGATAGATA